ATTCTATTCTATTCATATTATTCTATTCAAATTATTTATTCTATTCCTAATACAACCTAATACAATAGCAGAGTTGGAAGGGACCTTGGAGGTCTTCTAGTCCAACCCCCTGCCTAGGCAGGAAACCCTATACTGTTTCAGACAAATGACTATCCAACATCTTCTTAAAGGCTTCCAGTGTTGGGGCATTCACAACTTCTGGAGGAAAATTCTGTTCCACTGATTAATTGTTCTAACTGTCAAGAGTTGTCTACTCTACTCTCTATTCTATTCTATTTTCTATTCTATTCATATTATTCGATTCCATCTAAGATAGGTTCTGTTCTGTTCTAATCTAGTCCGTTCTCCAAAACTGCTCACCTCTGGCCAGGAACGGCCAGAATCTTTGCTGTGAAGCATGCTCAACTCCCAGTCTTTTGGCTCACAATTGAGCGCCCACAGTTTTCAGTGTCAAGCTGTTCCACGGGTTAATGAAGGAAGTTTCTCCTTCATTCCAGGTTTCTTCTCTCCTTGACCCCGCCCCTCTTTGGGGCAGCCCCACAAATACTGGAATACTGCTAATGCTTTTCTTTAAACTAGCCAACCCCAAATCCTGCAGCCGTCCTTCATATGTTTTAGTCCCCTTGGTTGCTCTTCTCTGCACTTTCTCCAAAGTCACCACATCCTTTTTTGTAATGTGGTGATGAAAATGGGTTGCAGGATTCCAGGTGTGGCTTTTTTTTATCAAGAGGTATTAATACTTCACACAATCTGGATTCCATGCCTTCAAATCCAAGGAACTGGAGCGCAGGTATAGAATCCGGCATCCCGTTGAACCTCTTCACAGCTCCATCCAAATCGCCCTGGGCAATTTATTGGACCAAAATTCAAAAAGCGGCTTGAAGAAATAACGGGGAACTTGCCTTGATTGGAAACCTTTATTAGGGCTAACCACCACAAAATACAGTAGAGAAATATTATACCTAAATCCTACATATTACAACTGCGGGCAGAATAAGATACGCACAAAAATGGAAAAGCAACACAGTGCACAAAGGAAGATGAAGAGTTAAGGAAGATCTTAGAATGTGCAGAGACGAAGGAAATACAAGGAAAGGAGGAATCAGATTACGACTTAGTTTGGGGAAAATGGTATAAATGGCTAGATGATAGAAAGAAGAAATTATTGGAAGTGCTAAAAAACACCAGGCACTTTTTCCTATATGTGGTAGACATGCAACAAGGCAAAAAGATATTGGAGAATGGTACAATTATGGCTGGAACAAATGGTGGGAGATCAAATTCTGTGGAAACCAGAAATTTTCCTCCTAGGCATAATACCAGAGGGGTATAAGAAAGATGTGCTTTATTTAGTTATCCATGTATTGACAGCGGCATAAATAATCCATTGGGGAAAAGGAAGTATCCAATCAGAGTTAGACATAATTAGGAAAATCTTGGCCTGTGCGGAAGCAGATAAGGTTCACTCTAGAATTAAAAAAGAAAGAGGAGTCGGAATATTATGAAGTTCGGAAGAGATTTTATTATTGGTATAAGACAAGATGACAAGACTGGAACAAACTGTAAACAATGTGATTGGATACTTCCTTTT